GCCTGATATTCAACTAAAACCAGGTCCTAATGGCTACGTTGGGTACTTCACATCTCAAGCTATTATAAATTATTAAATAGTTATACACATAAGGAAAACTGCCCAGCACGCATTCTCTTCAGGGTTTCACTCAAAACCTCCCCTCCTCTCTGCTCCCCACTGCCGCCTTGTGTCAGTTACCTACTCCCGATTCCACTAAGGTTAGTTGGTCCTATCTTACCCCCCTCCCCCACCCCCAACCCCAACACACAGCATGTTAAATTCCACTCCTGGGACCCAACTTCCCAACCAAAAATCCGTTTTGCAAGTTATTTAGCAAGGTGTGTCTTTCTAGAACTTCTGTTTAATAAAGTCACTAGTGCTCCCCTGCCCTCCTCTTTTTTCCCTCTTATCTTTCTGTGTTGAGTATTCACAGAATCTGGACCTGCCAGCTACTTCTGTTTGAAGTTGAAGACTTGGCAAAATTATGCATCCAGCAGGCACAAACTAAAGTGGAACTGTCTCACAATGGCGAAATCTGTTGTGTTGTTTTAAGGCTAATGAAAAAAAAGCCCTACTAAATATTGTCTTGGCAACTATAAACATATCTTAGCAATGATAAAACCTTTATTATTTTAATTTAAAATATATATATATTTTTATTTTATTTTATTTTTTTACAGAGAGGAAGAGAGAGGGATGGAGAGTTAGAAACATCGATGAGAGAGAAACATCGATCAGCTGCCTCTTGCACACCCCCTACTGGGGATGTGCCCGCAACCAAGATACATGCCCTTAACCGCAGGCTGACTCTCTATCTACCACGAGCCAAACCGGTTTCGGCTAAAACCAAAGTAATAGTTAACAGCCAAAACCGGTTTGGCTCAGTGGTAGAGCGTCAGTCTGCGGACTGAAGGGTTCCAGGTTCGATTCCGGTCAGGGGCATGTACATCGGTTGCGGGCACATCCCCAGTGGGGGGTGTGCAAGAGGCAGCTGGTCAATGTTTCTCTCTCATCGATGTTTCTAGCTCTCTATCTCTCTCACTTCCTCTCTGTAAAAAAATCAATAAAATATATATTAAAAAAAAAAAGTAATAGTTAACAGATACCTGAAACCTAATTATATACAATATATTGAGATTCTTCATTCACTGTCACGTAATTTTCTATTTGAGATTTTACAGTGTTTTATATGGCCAAGTATCAAATTCCCATCCCCCCCCTCTACCCCTTTCCCCCGCTGGCTGCATTTTACTTATAAAATTGGAAATGAATTCATTAGATCAACTGCAGTGACTCTAATTTGAAATCTTGGAAAAATGCATTTCTAATTAAGAAATTTCTAACCAAACAGACCTCTGAAACTTAGGTTATTTTTTTCAGGTCTTTATGCACATCTTTATGAACCACAGTCACTCTACTGACTTCTTTGGGTTGGATTGGGCAGCAATTCTGTTTTTCTTTTCTTCTTTTTCAAATGTTTTTTATAAAGAGAGAGAGAGAGGGAGGACGATGTTCAATCCACTGAGCCACACTGGCCAGGCGCCATTGTGTTTTTCATACCTCACTTCTCTCTTCATCTTAATCCATGTTTATTCATATTTTTGATAAGGCATTACTTTTATCCAATAGCATTTTCACAGCTATCATTTTAAAAAAATATATTTTACTGATTTTTTACAGAGAGAAAGAGAGAGGGATAGAGTTAGAAACATCGATGAGAATCATCCATCAGCTGCCTCCTGCACACTCCCTACTGGGGTTGTGCTCGCAACCAAGGTACATGCCCTTGACCAGAATCGAACCTGGGACCTTTCAGTCCACTGAGCCAAACCAGTTTCAGCCAGAGCTATCATTTTAAAAAATATATATTTTATTGATTTTTACACAGAGAAAGGGAGGATACAGAGTTAGAAACATGGATGAGAGAGAAACATCCACCAGTTGCCTCCTGCACACCCTCTTGCTGGGGATGTGCCGGCAACCAAGGTACATGCCCTTGACCAGAATCGAACCCGGGACCCTTCAGTCCGCAGGACAACGCTCTATCCACTGAGCCAAACCGGTTTCGGGGAGCCATCATTTTTAAAGGCTCCAGAATACAACTGGAATATAACTCCTCTGATGCAGTTGGTTTCACCTTTATGTATTATTTTCCCTTCCTCCTGTTAAAGAGAAAAAGCACAGGCCCAAGACAGTGTCACTTGTGCTAAAAGCCCATGATATCGAACCTAGATTTAATCCCTGATCTAATTACAGTTTCAACCTCTCCCAGAAATGTAATCTTAAACAACTCTTCTGAAGTTTTCTGGTCAAGCACCAGTGAGGTAATTTGTCACTCGGGCTCTCACTTCCCTCCTCCCCATAGGAAGAGGGGTCAATCTGCATGATAAAAGCCCTCAGGCTGCTCCTTCCCTGAAGGTGTCCTGGCCTGAAAGTAATCCTTTCTTTCCTTTCAGCGCCTCCCTTACCCCACCTTCCTTTGGGTGGGATGCTGCCTGATTCATAAATTCCTTAATAAAGCCAATTAGATCTTCAGTTTTACTTGAATTGTTTTTAACATTTCGTATTAAAACACACACACACACACACACACACACACACACACACACAAAGCCTATGAACTTACAAAAACCATTTGAAGGTAGATGCTTCCTTTCCTAGATAGCAATGATCTCCATTTCTGTTAATAACTTATTTGGAATAAACAGCTTACTTTGTTAGGTAGATGAGCCAGTTATGCAAATTATTGACAATAACTCAACTCACTGTGTAGTTTAAGAGCTAATGCTTTTGAAAAAGTCAACTGGCAGTTAAGCATGCTTATTGCCTTAGGTGCTATTTTTTTTTTTTTAGTAAAATCTTTCTATTTGATAAAATCTTTGATTTCAAACAATATGAACAAAGACGTGTTAATTTCTATTGTCTTGTTTTAACTTATCCTTAAAAACCCCGAGTTGATACAGTGAGCGACTGATTAAAGATTATAAATGCTCCCTTTGCATAAAGTCATTTTACATTTTAAAACCTTTTTGCATTTTTAAACAACTCGAGGTTTAAATGCTAGTCGCAACTCTTCCTAACTCGCCCACGGGGGGAAATCCTAGAAAACGGAACTAATGAAATACAACTTATACTTTTAAAATTCTAATTATGACATTACATTGAAGGTGAGACCGAAACTGCTGCATCCGCTAGGTCAAGCGGCGGAATATGTCATACATGCTGTTTAAGCTCCGGGTGTAAAAGTCAAGTGCCCGGCAGACACCGGCGGGCCTCCTTTCTGTCTTCTGGGAACGTATAAATTAAGCAAGTGCTCTCGCCCAGCGGTCCTCCTCCCTTCCTCCTCCGCCCTATTTTAAATGTAGATGGGGCGACTCAAGCCTTTTGAATTTGAAGGGCTGCTATCTGGGGCTCCATTCTTTTCATCATCCTGTTTTGAATGACACTGAGCCCATACGGATTCTTTTCTAAAAACCAGCCCCCTGGATGCGGGGCTCCGTCCTCCGGGCGGTTTGCTGCTTTTGCATAGCAATCAGGACTCACTTCTCCAAACCGGCCGTCCAGATACAGTTTGAGGATGCCTCGCCTAGCTCCTCGGAGATCTGGGATAACCTTGTGCGCTTTTTTTTTTTTTTTTTCACACCCGAGGAGGAGGAGCTTGCATAATGACTCAGTTCCCCATAGGAGTGGTCTGGAGGAAGATACAGTAGCCCCAAAACTACTACGTTCATTCAAACCCTCCCCGCGACTGGCCGCGAAGGAGCCAGCATTATGCCTTATTTTAAGATCTATTTTCTCTATTCACTGACCGGCGCAGGCAGGGCTGGGCCACATGGTCCTCTCTCGCAGCCGGTGCAGCTGTGAGCAGCAGATGGGATCATTTGCATTTTTCTTATATTTTCTTCGGCGGGCAAATGAAAGGATTTTTTTTTAAATTATATTCTCGCTGTGTGCCTAAAATATGCGGTTTAATTGTTGGATTGGGCTTCCGTGACCCTCAACAACCACACCCCTTCAAGTCACGGAGACTTGGAGGAAATACCCGAGGGGGTGGGTGGGTTGCCTATTTGTCTCGTGGAAACCTCCAGGTCCGGAATGAAGTCTAAAGAATCCACCTTGATTCAGAGGGTGACTCGTGTTTTTCTATTTTTAAGCGCTGGGCGCAGCTATCCTGTGGCGTGAGAGTCTGAGCGCGCGCTTCTGAATCTCGGGCTCCGCAGCCTGCAAACTTCGGGGAACAGGCGGGAGGCAGGTCTGCGGTCCCGGCTCCCCGCGGAGGCGGCCACCGGCTGGGGGAGTGGCCAGACGCAGCGTTTCCCAGCGCCGCGGGCGCCCTCCGGCAGCCTCGGCCCCAGGCCGGCTCCGCGGGGTCTGGAGCCCCGGGGTCCCCGCGCCCCGGTGTCTTTGTGCCGAGCGCGGCGCGGGAACACGCGCCCGCGGGCCCTGGGGGCCGCGGAAACGCTGAGAACTCGGGAGAGGCGCGGACGCGAGGGAAGGAAACGCCCCGCACGGTCGCCGTCCCGCGGAGAGAGGAGAGAGAGAAAAGTAGAAAAAGAAGCTTTTCAGGTCAAACTCCTCGAGTCTGGGAAACCACGTTTCAGAGACACGACTCGTGGGGGCGGAGGGGGGAGAACACGCGGCGCGCAGGGGGCCTTGTTAGCAGCGCCGGCCGGGCGCCGTGGGTGCGCGGCCCCCGCCCCCCGCCCGGGCCCACGTGGAGCCGGCCGCGCGGCACCCGCTGAGCGCCGGGCTGCCCGGTCCCCGGAGCGCGCGCCCCGGCTCCCCGCCGCGGCCGGCCCTTCACGCCCGAGCGCCGCCGCCGCCGCCGCCGGTCCCGCGTGTGCCCCGCTGGGGGGGAGGGGCGGGCCGAGGGTGGGGGCGGAGGGGTTGTGGTTCTAAGGCGGCGGGGGCTCCTGTGTCCTTGTGCGGAAATGACACACGGAGTCCCGTCACGTCACGCGAGAGCGCAGCGCACGGACACACACAAAGAGGGGAAAATACACGGCGCCCGCTCGCCGCCCCCAGCGACTGCTCCCCGGGCCGCCCCGGCCAGGCCCGCCGCGCGCGCCCCCCGCTCCCCGGACCGGCGCTCCCCGCGCCCCCCCACGTGGCGCCCAACTCGGCGCGGACTCGCTCCGCAAAGTACAGAACTCGTGTCCCAGGTAAGCGCGGGGCGGAGCGGGCTGGCCGCGCGGCGGCGGCGGCTCGGGGCCGGCGGACGGGCGGGGAGAGTGGCTGCAACATCCATGCCGGGGTGGGGGCGGGCGCAGGGGAGGGGACGCGGAGGGGGGCTGCCGGAGCACGCCCGGCGGCGGTGGCGGCGGGAGCGCCCACCCCCGTGCAGGGCCGAGCCGCCGAGCGAGCCCTCGGCGCCCACGAGCTCGCCGCGCCCATTGTGCCGCGCACCCCTTTGTGCCGCTCGGAACGCGGCGGCTCCATGGCGTCCCCGGGAGCACGCGCGCCGCGCGGGGCAGGCGGGGGGGGGGACGCGGAGTGGAACGGTCCGCGCCGCCGTCGCCGCCCGCCCCACTCGCGCCGCGCGCCGGCCCCGCACCCCCCGCCTGGCGCCGCGATGGAGCGGCCGGGGCCGCCGCCGGAAGGCTCCGCGGAGCCCGTGTCGGGGCTCTCGGTGCTCGAGTACGGCCGGGCTGCTGCGGGGGACGGTTCGGCGTGAAAAAGGGGGTGTCCGAGCGGAGCAGGGGGCGGGGACTACTGGAGGGAGATGCCGAGCGGGGAGCGGGCGGCCGGAGGAGCCGCCGCTCGGGGGGAGGCTGTGCCGCCGGAGTCTGCAAATGGAGTGAGGCCGGCCCGCGGCGGCGGCGGCGGCGGCGGCGGCCGGGAGCGGACGAACACAGGCCCCGCCGCCAGGGGGCGCCGCGCTCCCTCCCCGTCTCCCACGGCGCGGTTCGCGGTTCCCGCTGCCCGGGAGCTGGAGGCGGGCCCGGCGCTCTGGGTGTGCACCCCGGCTGGCGCGAGGCCTTCGTGGCCGGCCGCGGGCTGCAGCCTGGGGCGCTCGCCGCTGCTCCTGACCTTCCCCCTTTCCCTCTGGCAAACGTGCTTACCCACGCAGACTTTGCCCTCGCCTTATGTTGGTGCAGAACCTAACCTGTGTACCGAGACGTGTAATTTTCCCCGAGGTGTTTTTACAAAGGGGAAAGGGTGACTGCTCTGGTGGCCCATCTGGAAGAATGCTGTGCGCCGAGGCTAAGCAGACAAGCGTGCGTGGGGTAGTGCCAAGCACTCCAGAGTCGAAAATGGTCCACTTCACCTTTTAAAAGTAACTTCGGGATGTTGAACGTGCCACGGGAGGGGGTCACGCGTAGGGCAGCTGAAAGCTAAGACTGCAGAAAACAGGCAAGGAACTGAGCTCTGGGTATATAAACAAGGAGGGTGGAGGAGGTTCTTAGGCTATCCACTCCCCAACCCCACCCCTTTGTGTGTGTGTGTGTGTGTTTTTTTAAAAACCATTCCTGGTTTGTGGCTTTGTATCACCCATACAGGACCCTGTTAGTTCCCACACCCTCATTAATGAGATTTGCCCAAGATTTTGTATTTTCTTAAAAGAGTTTTCCATCCCTAGCCACTAACCCAGAGTCTGATAGGTGCTCAGTAAACATTTGCTAAATGATTGGGGACCCCTTGGATTCCAGAAGAAAGGTGGGTTCCCTGCAGCCAGCTCTCGCTGCTGGGTTAGCCTGCCTGTGTGTGGTCCTTAAAATGTAATTCACGGATGAGCCTTTACAATTTGTCACATGAAAACTCCTGCCACTGAACGTGGGTTTTACCAGAGACACCATTTCCTTGTTGAAGTAATTTAAAAGAAAAGTTTTGTCTCCCCCTCACCCCCCTACTACTAAAGCACCAGAAACAGTAAAAGAGACCAGTTAGGACCTAGCAGACAAGATGGTCAGCATCCCAGTCTGTTGAAGTGTATTACATTTGACACACTGAATTCACACCTTCCCTTCTGGTCACTTCTGAGTTCCCAAGCATCCCTTATGTGAGCAAAGGAATGGCCGAATGTCTAATAATTAGGAAGAGAAAATTTGGAATCAACCCTGATTAGGTGAAAATGTCCTGCAGAAACGTCTCATCTACCACTTTTAAAAAACAAAACAAAACCAAACCTTTCTTTATTGATTTCAGAGAGGAAGGGAAAAGGAGTAAGAGAGAGTTAGAAACATCAGTGATGAGAGAGAACCATTGGTTGGCCGCCTCCTGCATGCCCCCTACTGGGGATCAAGCTCACAACCAAGGCATGTGCCCTTGGCTGGAATCGAACCCAGGACCCATCAGTCCACAGGCTGACGCTCTATCCACTGAGCCAAGCCAGCTAGGGCTCGTCTACGATTTAAAAAAATTTTTTATAAAAATTTATATATATATATATATATAAATATATATTATTGACTTCAGAGAGGATGGGAGAAGGAGAGAGAGATAGAAGCATCAGTGATGATAGAGAATCATTGACTAGTTGCCTCCTGGGGAGCAGAGCCCACAATCTAGGCATGTGCTTTAGACTAGCATGAAACCCAAGACCTTTCAGTCTGCAGGCCGACACTGTCCACTGAGCTAAACTGGCGAGGGTTTGTCTCCCACTTTTTAGAGCTCTCTAGGAAGCCCCTGAAACACTGAGGAAAGAAACAACACGCATCTCAAATTTTATAATGTACAGTAGAAACATGAAGGTTGCTGTCAACCAGCGAAAACAATTTGGTGTTAGTGAGTGGGAGGCTGGGGTGCAGTGTTTTGTTTCTGGTACTTAATTTTGATGGCAAGTGGAGAATTATGGTTGCTACTCCTTTTTTTTAAAATATATATTTTTTGAATTTTACAGAGAGGAAGGGAGAGGAATAGAGAGTTAGAAACATCATTCAGCTGCCTCCTGCACACGCCATACTGGGGATGTGCCTGCAGCCTAGGTACATGCCCTTGACCGGAATCGAACCTGGGACACTTCAGTCTGCAGGCTGACGCTCTATCCATTGAGCCAAACCAGTTAGGACTGGTTGCTACTGTTAATAGTCATTATTGGCTAAAGGTCGTTTGGAGGAATTATTTGTGAAATTAAATCTTTGGGGTGATGGGACTTTTTTGTATCCTCCTCTCATTGGTGGTTACAGGGAGATATTATGTATCTGCCTTTTCATAGAGCAGTACGCCTTCCCGCCAGAAAGTAAATTTTACTGTGTGGTAATTTTTTAACAATAAAATTTAAATTCACATAAAACCCACATGCCAAAAACATGGATATCTGAATGTGTTTTGTGCGCATCACCTTGCTCTTGTCTCCCCCTCCGGAGTAGACACTTCTTTTCTCTGCCTGCTGGTGTTCCAGTATCTCCTGCAGCACGATGATTTCAGCCCCGAGCTCTTTGGTCCTGGACCCAGCGGCCACACATGACCTGCCCTTGCCACGCTGGGATCTCTCCACGTGGGCAGCAGGCCTTTGGCGCATCAGACACTTGGAGTGTCGGGTTATGTTCGTCCCCGAATGACCAGGCTGTTGTTTCAGAGCTGAGTTTTTCTCCGCAGCTCACCCGGCACCAGTTACCTGGCCTCCATTTTTAATCCAACTTGCGACATGTGTAATCTCAGCCCTCTTCGTGTTTTGTTTTCTACCAATGACCTCTCTTCCTCTCTCCTGTCTGATCTTCAGTTATCACTGGACAGTGAGACAGCGGCATCCGTCTCCACAAAGGGTCGAGGGAACAGATCCCTTAGTGGTCTTGTGTGGAGGTTTGGGGGCAGGTGGGGTTGAGTTTTGCACCAGATTATGCCCCAACTCTGATGAGCTCTTGTGGTCATAAGACAACATATGAAAAAGTGGGAAGTACAGAGGAAATTCAGCTTATACCTCCCAGGAAAATTAGTCATCATTGTCCAGTCAGTCACATGGGTGGCTGCTGGGATGTGCTGGCTCCCCTGTCCTCCTTGTGCCGAGGTTAAACTTACAAGCAGAGTCTTACGCCTCCTACCACTGACACCGAAAGCAGATGCCCTTCCTTTTGCTAAGGAAGACGTCAAGTTTAGTCACATTCAGATAACTCAGTGTCGCAAGGGTAAGAGGCAGAGAGTCGCAGGCAAGCAGGGCCGTGTGTGTGTGTGTGTCGTGTGTGTGTGTGTGTGTGTACATGTGTGTGTTCTTCGCTGCGTGCTGAGAGATGAGTTTGTGCTCTGGCTGAATAAGGAAGCATTGACAATTACAGCGTCAGAACAGCTCGGGACAACATTGCCCTGGTTTTGTGAGGACTGGTGTTTCTCAAACAGCGTGTGCAGATGTGTCCAAAAATAAAAACACATTGCAAGCATGTTGTGCACGTCCCATGGGCAGGATGCCACTGTCGTGAGGGCTGGGTTCTGAGAGACCCCGAGGCTCCCAGCCCTTCGTGTAAACCCGGAGACCGGCCCGCGAGAGACTGTGGCATGGGAACATTCTTCCCGTCCTTGGGGAGGGCGTTCATTTGGTCCCACCCCTCCCAGTTTCTTTCACTTGAAAGACAAGTTATAGTAACCTTTTCAAAGGCTTGAAGTCATTTAATTTTGCAGTGTTAAGCAGTCACTATTAAGATGCACTTTAAACATCTTTTCCAAAAGCTCACAGATACTAGGTGCTGCCTGCCAGGCACTTTCCCCGTTGTAGTTTTCACGCATATGAGGTGCGGTGGTGTGATCAGCTCCATTTTACAGAAGAACAAGGTTTGGGTGGGTAAGCACTTGCCCAGGGTTAGAAACCAGACACAGGTGGAGCTAGGGCTGTAACCTAATTATGGACGACCCTAAAAGTTCGTAGGGGTTCCTAGTCTTGTGATCAGCAGCACCAGTCCCTGCCTTGGTGGTCTGAGGGCCCCTGTGGCCAGTGGACCTGCTCCCGCCTCTGAGCCCAGCCTCCAGGTGGGTGCTCAGCGGGGAGGGATGGGCATGCCCCGCCGGGTCCCAGCTCTTCTTGGAAGACGGGGTGAGTCCGTCAGCACGGGGTGCACCCCACTCCTTCCCTCTCCACCTCCAGTGAGACTCAGATTGCTGGCCCCCCGGTTCTCCATCTGCAGCACAAGAGGGCTCTGGTGAGGATGACGTGGCTAACGTGTGAAACGCGCAGACCATGGAGCCGGCGCTACGTGGATGTCAGCTGCTGGCCTCCTCTTCTGTTTCATTTTTA